ACCAATTTCTTGGCTATCTCTCTCTCAACTGTTAGCATACCAATTCTTGGGTTCCACTAGTTGCCCACTGATTATTCTGTTGTGTTTTACAAAGCCCTGGAGCATCTGTTTCCCCACAGTCTGATCCAATTGAATTTGGGCAGTGATCGTTTTTGAGGTCAATATTTGAGGTTGGTTCTTACTCCAGAGAGTACTTCTTAGTTGTCTCTTTCCCTGATTCTCTCTGGTAAGCCAGTTAGTGTACAGTTTAGTTTCTTGCTCTCGTGGAGCTACCAGGAGCTTCTTAATTGCGTAAAACCAAAACCTCCATTGTTTTTGAAAATATCTTTAGGCTTGAACTTCCCCATATTATGTTTCAGATAAAGATACTATCTTGGGGGGGAGCATTAGAGTTCTCTGTGTTTAAGGCTTGCTTCTCCCTCTAGCCAAAATGTCCTAGTCTTGGCTCTGGAGCTTGAAGCAGGGAGAGTAGCCCACTTCTGAGTGATATCCCTGCTCTGCAAGCTGAGCAGAGATGGTAGCTTCTGGTCTTCTTGGCTAGCCTGAGTGTGGAATCTCTGACCTACAAATGAGGTAGAAGGAGGGCAGTTGGGAGAAGCCAAGTAGGATGAGGAGGGAATCCATATGGAAGGGCAGCCCACCCAGCAGTGATGATGCCTGAGCAGGATAACATCTGTGTGGGAGGGTAACCTGGCCAGAGTGTTAGAACATTCCAGGGGCTCAGAGCTCGGGTCAGGTTAAAAGGGCTCTTACTTGTCAACATGACCCTGAATGGGATAGTAGAACATAGGCAGGGTGAGGAGAGCATCCATAGCAAGGTAGGTGTCTACAGCAGCCTGGCTCAGGTGTTGGAGTCCAGATGGGGTGAGGGAGGTATCTACATAGAGGAGGGAGCGGTGGTAGCGATGGAGATCACTTCCACATCAAGGGCTTGGTCACATAGGTAAATACATTAGGAGTAATGGTAGTCAGGGTTCTCACTGAGTGATTATTATAGGTATAGTTGTAGAAAGAGGGAAATTAGAAGGAACCCTGTGGTCTTGGGTTAAAATTGGTACTATCAGGGTAAACTCTTGGTTTTCAGTATGTATGTATACATACATAAAAATAAATGTAAATGTGTGGTAGTGTGTACGCCTGTGTATAATACATGTGTTCTTTAGTTCTGTCCACCAAGAGGGCCTGGTAGCAATAACACCCTAATAGCAATGAGCATACATACCTAACAAGCAGATATTGGTTTCTAGATACCATTCTTCACTAATAAATAACAGGGCTTCTTGAATTTAATCATGAGGAAACACAAATGCCCAGATTGAGAGATATTCAATAAAATAACTGGCCTGTACTCTTCGAAAACTTCAGGGTCATCAAAGTCGAGGAAAGACTGTGGAATTTGTTCTAGTGTGAAAAGGTAAAATAGACAAGACAACTAAATATAACATAGTTCTGCACTGTACCCTTTTACTTTAAGCAACATTTTGAGTCATCTGTGAAGCTTTAATGAGATCTGAGGAATAGAGGGAAAATATTAATGTCTTGATTGTAATTTTCTGATTTGAGGGAATTGTGGAGATTGTCTTTGTGGGAAATATATACTAAATTATTTGGATTAATAGGGCAGCATGTCTGCTACTTTCAAACCATTCAAGAAAAAAATATTCTTTGTACTGGTAACTTTTCTCTAAGTTTGAGATTGATTCAAAGTAAAAAATAAAATCCTCTAAAAAATATATTTAAAAACTTAAACCAAAGCTTTCAGTTGTGTTGCATGCTGCTGAGCACTCAAAGAGATGAAAACTAAAAGAGGCCACTTTGAAACAGGTCACTGGAGACCTTGGCAAAGACCCCAGCTGAATAGGCTAAGAATGAGACAGTTGAGAAGTGGAGACAGCAAATGCCGTCACCTCTGTTTAGAGGTTCAACTGTGAAGAAGAGAGAAGTGCCCTTAGAAGGAGAGGAATTATGGTAGAAGATCAAGAAATAATGACATATACTAGGAATGTTTGAAAAACTGAGATTTAGTACAAATAAGGAACGTTTTGGAGAAGTCTGTCTTTAAAAACCTTACAAGTAAAAAAGATGCTTATTTTTTTTCGGAGGGAAGAACTAGAACCAATGTTTATGGAGAAATGGATTTTGACTCAACATTAGAAAACATTTTGAGGCTGGGCATGGTGGCACATGCCTGTAGTCCCAGCTACTCCAGAGGCTGATGCAGGAGGATCGTTGGAGCCCAGGAGTTTGAGGTTTCAGTGAGCTATGATTGAGCCACTGCACTCCAGCCTAGGCAACAGAATGAGACCCTGTCTCTTAAAAAAATAAAAGAAGGAAAGACAGAAAAGAAAGCATTTTGAGCTAACAGTTGAATAGTCAATTGTCTTGTGAGAAGTGAAAGAAAAGTAGAGAACAGGAGCTGGAAAGTCAACTGTGCAGCAAATTCCTGGAAGCAACTCCTGCAGACTTAAGAATGCAAATAGATGGCCCTCCCACTCCCACTGGGCACCCACTACATTCTTGGTCTGTTGTTGTATGAGTTTTTTTGAATAGGAAATAATGAGCCCTTTCTGAAATCTTGAGTGTAGAAGGAAATTACAAGTTCTTGGTGTTCCAGATCTGCTTAGGCTTTTATGTGTTTTAACCACCCACTTGTAGAAATTAAGGGGGAAAAGGCTGAGTAATCTTTGGTACCGTTTAGTGGGTTTCTTTGTTGTGTTTCCTGTGCTTATCACAAGTGTAGCTAATTTTGTGTTTGTGGTGACCAATATATCATTTATTTCCTTAAATATTTTTCTGAATTTTGTTCTGCGTGATGGCCCATCAGCAAATCGTCCAGTGGCCACAAAAGTGTTATGGTCTGGAGACTCAAGCACAGTACCTGTTATCTTTCTACTTCAAGAAAGGCCTGTTAGGTAGGTGGTCATGATTCCAGGAGCTTGGGGGAATTCAGGATTAGCCAGGTGACTTATCTTTTGTACTGTTTTCCTACTTTTTCTTGGAACATGCCTTTTTTCTAGAGATAACATATTTGGAAGTGGGGAGAAGAATAAGACAATAAATGTGACTTTATGCTTATGAAATATAGAAAACTGAAAATTTTCTTCTTATGTATTTAGGAAAATACATTGTCAGAGGGGGAAAAAATAGATCAGTTGTTAGCAGGTAAGTGGGAAAACAACAGTAGGGTTGGTTTTTGTGACTGACAAATAAGGTATAACCATGGAGAAAGGAGAAAAGGAGCTCCCAAATGTAAACACAGTTTAAGTCAGTGAAAAGTTCTAAGGATGCTATCTGTGGCCTCCATAAAGAAAAGTCTTTACCTTTGTGTGTCTGTTGAAAGCATGGTCCTTCATAAAATTATTCTCACTCTAAAACTTTCTATTTCATATAAAACATAAACTGGAAATTAAAATAGTCTTGCTGTTCCTGTTTATCTAAAGATAACCCTTCTATTTTTTTCTGTAGGTGATTTTAAATAAAATTCAAATGTTATTTCTGAGAGTATAAATGATTCATTATTAGCAGTTTATAATTCATCCCACAGCAAAGGACAGATCCTCCAAACAGAAAATTAACAAAGAAATAATGGACTTAAACAGAAATCTAGAACAAATGGGCGTGACTGACAGGACATTCTACCCCAAAACCACTGAATATACGTTCTTCTCGTATACATTCTTCTCTAAGATTGACCATATCCTAGGCACAAAACATGTCTCAAAAATTTTTCAAAAATAGAAATTATACCATGCATCTTCTCACATCACAGTGGAATAAAATTAGAAATTAACCCTAACAGAAACTCTCATTTCTACACAAAGTTGTGGAAACTAAACAACCTTCTTTCTGCCAAACGATTATTTCATAAATGAGGAAATCAAGATGGAAATCAAAAGATTCTTTTAAACTAAATGACAAAGGAGACACAAGTTATCAAAATCTGTGGGACACAGCTAAAGCAGTTCTGAGAGGAAAATTTATTTCCATAAATACCTATATCCAAAATACAGAAGATCACAAATAGACAACCTAATCAATCATCTCAAAGAACTGGAAAAAGATAAACAGACTGACCCCAAACCCATTATTTCATTATTATGAAAATAATAAGATCAAATCAGAACTAAATGAAATTGACAATAAAAAGCTATATGGAAGATTAATAAAACAAAAAGCTGGTTCTTTGAAAAAATATACAAAATTGACACGCTTTTAGCTAGATTAACCAAAAGCAGAAAAGAAAGAACTCTATAATAAGCTCCATCAGGAATGAAAAAGGAGAAATTACAACTGATGCCACAGAGATACAAGATATCATCTATGAATACTACAAAAACCTTTATCCACATAAAGTGGAAAATGTGAAGGAAAGGGATAAATTTTTAGAAACACACAGCCTCCCTAGGCTCAACCAGGAAGAAATAGAATTTCTGAACAGACCAATATAAAGTACTGAAATTGAAACAGCAATAAAAAACCTTCCTAAAAAGAAAAGTCCCAGACCAGATGGTTTCACACCCAAATTTTACCACACCTACAAATTAGAACTGGTGCCTGTCTTGCAGAAATTATTCCACAACATTAAGAAGGATGGAATCATCCCCAACACATTTTATGAAGCCAACATAACCTTGATACCAAAACCAGGAAAGGACGCAACAAAAAAAGAAAACTGCAGAACAATATCCCTTATGAATATAGATGCAAAAATTTTCAACAAAATCTTAGCAAACCGAATCCAGGTGCTTATCAAAAAAAATAATCCAGCACAACCAAGTGGGCTTCATCCCAGAGATGCAGAGATGCAAACCTATAAATGTAATTCACCACATAAACAGAAGCAAAAACAAAGACCATATGACCCTCTCAGTAGACACAGAAAAAGCATTTCACTAAATTCAACATCCTTTTATGATAAGAACACTTAACAAAATAGGCATAGACTGGGCTTACCCAATGTAAATTTTTTAATCAGTTTTTAAGTGGCTGAACAAATATGCTTTCTTACAGATGTGTGAAGTCACAAGTGTAGTATATTTAACAAAATTGACTCACAACATTAATAAAATAAGAAGTATTTGAAAAGAATATAAAAAGAGAAACCAGTTTGATACAAGTATAAAATTGTTTATTCTAACTAAGAATTGGGAAATAATCCCTTTAAAGTTGTTTTTGTGATTGCTTTTTGGCCACATGCTATAAATAAAAATGTGTGCTTACAAAGCAACAAGTGATGGAGGTAATGGAATTTTTGGAGTAAAGACAGTTGGCTCAAAAAGTTATCTGAGATGATGTCTTCTTTATGTTTATTTTAATGCTGTATTTCTCTCTTACTTCAGAAAAAGCATTCATTGAGTTGCTAAAAATGTTCACTCTTTCAGCTTCTTCATACTTGGATCTTAATACTTGTAGACTGAACTGAAAAATACAAGCTTTCAAAATTAATTTTGCTCACCAGTGATATTCCTAGGAATTTATTAAAGAAGAAACGTAGATATAAAAATTTCTTGTCCTGAAAATGTGTATTGTCTTACTTTTAAATAAAAAACATTGATAATAGCCTAAATGTCCAATAGCTAAGAACTCATTAGGTAAAGTATGATGCATGAGGTTGATGTGTCCTAATCATTGTGCTTCCATTAAATGAAAATTGCGAGAAGACTTTTAAAAGCAAATGGGAAAATGTTCCTCTACTGATTAGAGAAAGAAAAAAAACAGGAAAAATGTATTTGCAATATGATTACAGATAAGCAGAAAATCCATATGTATGTGGACAAGGACAGAAAGGGAACCAAGAGAGAATGTTGGGCAGGGACTGAAGGTACATTTTCCTATTGTAAAGCTATTTGTGGCTTAAATAAAACTAGTTTTACAAAGTAGATTGTGCTGTGAATTGGACGTTTTGCCAAGGAATAGTTTTGGAGCAGCCTTTCAGACAAGTGGGGAAGTTGATGCACTCATCTCTCATGTCCAGGCAAATTTCACTTCACCTGCCAGATCAATGCAGGGTGTATTCCCAGCGCCCTATTGTTGGGAATACCAAGCAAACATGCCATGTTGCTTACACCTTACAGATGCCTGTTGGCATTAGACTTGAATTCCTTAGATACTGACACAGCACAGGGTCACTGTGTAGTAACTTGGGTTAGCTCGGTTGTTCTGTGTTTATTTGAAGTTAGCTCAGAAATTATTCTTGAAGTAGTATATAAACCATCCCTTCATTAACTTGATCCAAATAACTCCTACCCCTTATCTAATGAAATTATCTTTTGAGTTTCCTCTGTAGATGTCCTTAAATGCCATTTCTCCATGCATCACTGACTAAGACCTCCTAGTTGCTACCTTAAATACTTTGCATCTCAAATGGAGCATGCTGATTTCTCTCCCACCTTCTGCACATGGACTCCTGTTTTTGCCAACTGCAGAATCTCACCACTCACTAAAGCTGGAGTCGGGCATCACCTCCAGCTCCCTGTCCTCTAGCACCATGGCAGTCTACCTCTGAAGTATACCCTACCTATGTGACTGCTGGCCATGCCCATCCACAGGCCCCCATGTGGGCTTGTCTCTCTCCAGGACTGTGTTAACATGCCACCCACTTGGAAGCACAGAGACCTGCCTGGAAACCTTCTGAGACCCCCCAGTACCCAGACAGCAAATGCACAACTCCTTAGTTTGAGCATTTAGGACTTCCTGCCATCAGGTTCGCTTTCCTCTCACACAGACCTCTGTGCAGCTGTTGCTCCCGTTGCCCTGAGGGTCCTGAAGGCCTTGCCTAGAATATTCCTCAGACCATTCCTCCAACGGGAAAGCTGTGCTTCCTGGATTGGTGACGTTAAAAAGATTTTTTTTCCATTACCACATTCTAAACTAGGGCATGATACTACACATGGAATAAGAATTTGGGCACCATTTGGGATTCTGTGTCCCTGTCTTATTTGACAAAAGTGCATATTGTTGGGAGGATGAGGGTAGCATTTAAAAAGGAGCTTGCTTATAGCCTTAGTAATCATTAAAACAAAACAGAAAAGAGCCTTATCTGTGGCAGTGCAGTAGTTTGTTTCTGTGCACACACAACTGAAATACCGTTTGTGCAGAGAGACAGAGAGCGAGCGCGGTGGCAGCCTGACATAAACAAGTGAGGAGGCGGACAATGAGTGCATTGGCGGTTGTTGCACTTTTTGTTTTCTTTATATCCTTTATCCTCAAGAGTTCCAACCTCCCCCTCATCCAGTTCCTTAAATAAATGTGTTACTTAATGAATTTTTCTTCATATGCCTCTGGCAGGACATTGTTGAAGCTTCTTTTTCCCCCACTACAACAAAAGGCAGAGAATAGTGTTTTTGAGCTTTTGAGAGGCCTGGCTACTGTATCCAATAGAGGTATAACCAAGAATCGGGTTTTCATATTTTTGAAAATAAAAATATGAGATTAAATGTCTTCTGATAATATATCAGCTCTAAAAAATGTCTTTATTTGTTCTATCTAAGTGTTTCTTTAATAGTTCTATTAAGAAAATATGGAGGGGGTTGGTTATGAAAATTGAATATTTTAATAATGTTGTAAGGTGTCCCACATATCCCACTTTTTTTCTACCATGTTCCAGAGAGGAGTAGAAAGAGAATTTTTTTCATAATATCCAGAGAATGACTGTGAAAGGGATAAAAGAATTTAAACCTTTTAATATATGTGTAAAAAATAGTGTTTGCATCATGAAGACATTTTTCTAAACTCATTACAATATTGGGGAGGTAATTCTTTAAGTGATCAGATCTTTTAAGTGTGTTTGAGAAACAAAATAAAGTAGTCTCGATTTAGGAATTAGCTATTTAAAATGCATATTATTCATCCCTATATTTGAACAATTTGTCCAAAATAGAGTCCGTTCATATAGGATTTTTCCTGTTGAGAACTCAGTGAGAATCAATCAGTACTTTCTTTGTTTGTCACCATGGAAACCAGTCAGCCTATCCGGAATGGCTGTTAGATCATACAGAACGGTGCTCCTGCCTCAGCCTAACTTCCTCACTGAGTGAGCTGGCGCTGACTGCTCCCGGCCCGCTCTTGCCTCCCGGGAGCCCAGTGCCATGCCCGTGCAGGGCGCGCCCCGGCGGCCCTCGGCCGTGCACTTCCTCAGCGCCTTCCTCCAGGGCCGCCGGCATTCCACCTCGGACCCCGTCCTGCGGCTGCAGCAGGCCCGGCGCGGCTCTGCCTCCAGCTCTGCCACGAAGCTCTTGTCCTCATCCTCCCTCCAGGTGATGGTGGCTGTGTCTTCAGTCTGCCGTGCCGAGGGGAGCCCAACTTTCCCCGAGAGAAAAAGTAAAGCTGTCTTTCTTATTGATTGCCACACCTTTGTATCTAAATTTAAGGAATGTGACTAGGCTATGTTGTGTTTATACCTTTGTAAATATTGGCAATTAATTCTGTGTTATACTTTTTACTGTTTGTTATGCTAAGTACTTTAGTGGATATGTAAGAGGAGATAAAATGATGGAATGTTTTGTGGTTTTTAATGATCATGTAGTTTTGAACAAAACTCATCCCCTTGTAAAAGCTCTGCCTTTACAGTTTCTTCCTCTCCTTATTCATACGTGTGGAGATTATTATATGCGAAAGCTTCTTAAATATTAAGAGATAGTGCATTTAAATGAAAAGGAAATGGTTTTGTTTTCTTAACAAGCTGAAGGGGAATTAGCTCCGGCTTGTCATCTGCCATCCTGATATAAAATGGAAGCTGTTTCCCATGTTGCTGTTTCATTTGGTGAGTGGAATTGTGAATCTTCCCTTCCCTGTATGTTCTAGGAAATTCAGAACGTCCAACACCAAAGTACACAAAAGTAGGAGAGCGTTTACGGCATGTCATTCCTGGACATGTGGCATGTTCCATGGCGTGTGGTGGTAGAGCATGCAAGTATGAGAACCCAGCCCGCTGGAGCGAGGAGGAGCAAGCCATTAAGGGGGTTTACTCGTCCTGGTGAGTAGGCCTGTCAGTCTTGCACAGCTCTGTAAGATGAAGGAAGGAAGCTGTGTGAGCTGAGAGCCATGCCACATGGAAGGGGCAGTGTAAGGCTTTGAAGTCAGGACCTCCCCTTGCCAGTCAGGTCTGGCTTTGCCCTAAACCACCTGTGTGATCTTGGCCTCTTGAACCTAAGTTTCTCCATCTGTAAAATAGAGATGATAAAACCAAAATCATAGAATCTTTTTTAATTAAGTGAAATTATATATATATGTAAAACATCCTTATAAAATGGCTAATTAGATAGCTCTTGAATTTCAGAAATTGCTAGAAATAATAGAAGTGTTCAGCTATAAGTTTGAGAAAATTATGAGATACCTATGTAAGTTTTTCATTTCATGCAGGTAAATTTTAGCCTCACTTTTATGTTATTCCTTTATTCTGTAGGAAAGGACACATTTTCACACAAAAATCTTAATACAAGTGTTACAAGTTGTCAGCGCAGTCGATAATATAAGATGCTTTCATTGTTTATGGTGTGTAAGTGCAATTAATATCATTCTTGAATCATAATACTTGTTAGTAGTAACAGTAAACTAGTCAGGTGTGCCTTTCTTATATAGTGACATCCGAAAAATTGTTAATCAAATCAGATCATATTGAAACACACTTAAAGGAATTCACTGTTTAAAGAATTCTAGCCATGAATTATTTTGTACAGCAACAATCCATTTTTAATTAGATATTTGTCAGCCAGCTTATCTGACTTGCAACCTGTACTTTTTCATATTGGATTTGCTGGGTACATCTGTAGTGATCCAGTCTGGGGTCTGCCATCATTATTGTTCTCCACAGATCATGTTCTGGTCTATCACTGTCACACCAGTGATAAGAAGAAGTAAACATTAATCCTGAGGCATAGTCAGACAAGAAAATTTCTAATTAGCGTAAGGTCACATTAATATTTTTTCTTTTTCACCTCTGCTGCTTTCCTGTCACATCTCCCCTTATTGTATACTAAATATCATTAAATTTGGAGGGCCCTAAACCTTTGGGGTCCATGTTAAATGTCATGCATTGTTCCAGAGGGGGAGATGCTTTTTAGATCCTGCCCTGCTAATCTGATGTCTTTGTTACTACTCTGAGATTCATGTGACCCACAACTTCCAATAGCCTGCCTTGTGTATCTTTAACCAGGCCACTGATGAGACATTTGAACAGAACAGAATAAAGCCAGAGCCCAGAGGCCTAATAAAAGTGACAGCCATTTATTGGACCTCTACACATCCATTCGTTCAGTAAACATTCATTTGGCTAAAGGCCAGGCACTATGCTAGATGCTTACAAATTATTATCTCTCATCTTCATAAAACTCTTGTGAGTTGTTAATGCCATTCTGTTGACAAAGAAATTGAGTTTCAGAGAGACTAAGTAATTTGCTAACAACCTAGAAAGTAGAAAAGCTAGCCTTTGAAACCAGACCCAACTGACTCCAGAGCCTGTATTTGTTGCAAAATTACAGTAACTCAGCATTTATTTATAACCATGTGTCAGGATTTGTGCTAAAGACTTTACACCCACATTGTATTGAATTCTCACACCAATCCTGTGAGGCACGCATTATTGTCCCTATTTAACATCTTAGGTTACATGTTCCCATAGTTGAGTAACTAAAAATGCCTCCCAGTGGTCCTCCTCATTTAGTCACTAACCATTGGATAACTAATTAGATAACTAATCCAGCCTTTGCTGCCCACTGAGGTTTCTCCATCATGTCGACTAGAATGTCTTGAGGGTCCTTGAAAACACTTTGTTGAGTCTAAAAATAATTTATGACCTGGATTTTTTGTGGGGATTTTAAAAACTAGGGTTTCTTTAGAGCTCTAATCATGATGTAAAATTGAAACCAGATTTGTCTAAGAATATTCTTAGACAGTTTTTGAAATCATAGAAAAAAATCAGTCTCAGTCCTTCCAGATGGAACATTCTAGGTTCTGTGCATCTCACCAGATTCTCTCCCCATCTGCAGGGTCACTGATAATATCCTGGCCATGGCCCGCCCATCCTCGGAGCTGCTGGAGAAGTACCACATCATTGAGCAGTTCCACAGGTAAATGCTGTGTCCTTCACACACTGGAGTGAGCAAACTCATGTGTTTTCTTCTTTCCTTGCTTTCGTCTTCAAGTGAAAAAGTGCTTTCATTTTAACAGTTAACAGTGAAGAGCTTATTTCAAATAAGAAATTAAGGTTTTGAGAATAATTTATAATAAATGGCTAATTTTTTAAAATGCTAACTCCCAATATGATTAATTGCTCTTTTTCCTTTAAGCCATGGAATAAAAACAATAATCAACCTGCAGCGCCCTGGTGAGCATGCTAGCTGTGGGAGCCCTCTGGAACAAGAAAGTGGTTTCACGTACCTTCCTGAAGCTTTCATGGAGGCTGGCAGTAAGTTCCTTCCCACCGTCCTCTTCACGAATTATCAAGGACAGCTCTCAGAGACTTTTGTCTGCTTGGCCCTTAGGTTGAAAGGTGATGGTAATAAACACTTCCTGCATAGTAATAGGGCTCATGAAAAGAGAAGATGAGCTAACTTTGACTTTAAATAATGCTATCGTTCTTCTTTGATGTTGCTGTTGAAAGTACAAGGTTTCTTTTTTCCTGGGAGAGGGATTTTGGGAGGAGACCCTGTAGTATTAATGGTTAACATGTAGTCACTGATTGCAGTATGCCAGATGCTGTTATCTAATTTATTCCTTAAAGCAGCTGTGTAACATAATTGTTATTGCTGTGTTACACATGAGACCACAGGGGCTTAAAGGGTTACAGATTTGCATGAGGCCACACAGCTTAGAAATGCAGTTAGGAATGGAACCTAGATGTGCTCATGCTTTTACTGCCACCCAGGCCTGCCCCTGGGAGGATACCCAGGGTTCCTCTTGTGACAATCCCAGAAGCTCCTCAGTCATAGGAGCTTTAGGATGGAATCTACTCAACATGTTTCCTTCTAACCAGGCTAGAAAGCATAAACATGTGCAGTCTTGAAACTAGTTTTTTTTTTGTTTTGTTTTGTTTTTTGAGACAGAGTCTCACTTGTTGCCCAGGCTAGAGTGAGTGCCGTGGCGTCAGCCTAGCTCACAGCAACCTCAAACTCCTGGGCTCGAGCGATCCTTCTGCCTCAGCCTCCCGAGTAGCTGGGACTACAGGCATGCGCCACCATGCCCGGCTAATTTTTTATATATATATCAGTTGGCCAATTAATTTCTTTCTATTTATAGTAGAGACGGGGTCTCGCTCAGGCTGGTTTTGAACTCCTGACCTTGAGCAATCCGCCCGCCTCGGCCTCCCAAGAGCTAGGATTACAGGCGTGAGCCACCGCGCCCGGCCAGCTTTTCTTTTTACACTGGGTAGAAAATCTGTATATACTATTAATATTTTTAGCCATTTATCAGTCATTTAGTTTCCCTGCTTAAACAAGATTATATGCTTTCTCTTCATAGCTGAGTGACTTTAGTGTAGATCATTGACTTTATTAATTTGTAATTCTACTTTTTCATAATTTTTTCCAGCTGAGTTTCAGCAGGAAATGTCTTAAGTAATATAGAACATGCTTTGTGAGGAAATTTTAACAATAAACTTACTGGAAATGTAAAAAACCTATTATTTTAGGCCTGTATATCCAATGAGATCCACATACCTTACATCTTTATACTTTTCATGAATTCACTCATTTTCTTCAAATGTCTTTGGAAGTGTTTTTCCTATGTGTTGATTCTTTTTTCCCCTTTTCTCTTTTTCATTACCTAGTTTATTTCTACAATTTTGGATGGAAGGATTATGGTGTAGCGTCTCTTACGACCATCCTAGATATGGTGAAGGTGATGACATTTGCCTTACAGGAAGGAAAACTAGCTGTTCATTGTCATGCAGGGCTTGGTCGAACAGGTAAATTCTAAGAGGTGGTTTTTATTGTCTTGTAGGCATATTTAAAACATAAAAGGAATATGATTTCCTAATTCTAAGGCTAAATATTTTTCAGAATTCTGTCAAAGCTTTGGAGTCAAGTAGAAGCAAATAAAAGATATTTGAAATATCTTAAACAGGTAGTTACAAAGACCATATGCTGGTGAGGTATATTTGAATGACTCATCATATTTAGTAAACAGATGGGTTGCTAAAACTAGCTAACTGACCACTCTGTTTTCTGATTTTCTTATCAGTGAAAATAGCAAGTTGTTTCACCTACCATGTTCTAAGCATTTTACAATTGCTGTCTTTTAAAATCTTTACCAACAGTGTGAGTTGAAGAAATTCCAGTTTGAGAAAAGTTAAGTAATTTGCTACTTACTAAGTTACGGGGCCAAGAATTAAATCCATGGCTGTCTGACTCCAAAGCTCATCTGCTTTGTCCTTTCAGAAGTATAAGGATTTTGTTTGTGAAAGAGAGTCTATCTGTGCCTAGAATTCTATACTGAGTATGAGTAACTAATGAAAAGGTAATAATTAATCACTTGTTGAAATATAATAGTCAATATTAAAGTAAAAGGAAAATCAGATATACTTGTGTGATTCACAAGTTTGTGAATATCTTGTGTACTTATATATGCGTACGTGAAAATCAGAACCTCTGAAAACAGCATGTTCTCTAGTTCATAGTAGGGAAGAACATATCTTTCTCACCAGGACATGGCAGATTAGTGTAAGTGTAAAATATCTGCAGAGCTATCATGCTAATGCCCAGGAATAGTTAGACTTTGGCTATTCCTAAGAGCTAATAGTCCCATAGAATTCAATATAAAAATTAGTGATTTTACACTAATTCAAAAACTTAGCAGAATCTCATTACAGTGCTGGGTGTTAGGGTAAAAATAAAGGCCTATGAGTGAAATCTTCATTGTCATCTGGTCCAACCAAACACCTCCAGCTCAGCACAGTGTACCTGTACACCTGCCCAGGGATCTGCCACCTGCCCAGTTATCTTCTACCTGCCTGGGGATCTGCTACCTGCCTGGGAGCCTCTTCAGGGATGGGACTCAATTCTGCTGGAGACTCTTAGCTCTTAGGATCAAGCCAAAGACTCTCTATTCCTGGGCATTAGCATGCTAGCTCTGCAGATATTTTACACTTACACTAATCTGCCATGTCCTGGTGAGAAAGATATCTTCTTCCCTACTATGAACTGGAGAACATGCTATTTTCAGAGGTTCTGATTTTTATGTACACATATACAAGTACACAAGATATTTACAAACTTGTGAATAACACAAGTATATTTGATTTTCCTTTGACTTTAATATTGACTGTTATATTTCAATGAATTGATTAATTATTACCTTTTCATTAGTTACTCATTTTAATTAGATGCTAATAAGACTACATAATGTTTATAGTCTTGAGGCTAGCTTCCTTAATATTACTTAATTTTCCATAATTACTTACAGAAAAGTAGAATAATATTATGGTCCAAAGAAAAACACATAATAGCGTAGATACAAGTCTGGAACAATTGTCAGAAAGAAAAATAGGCTGTGAATGTGAATAATCTCCAAAGAGGAAAGCACCCAAGCAGGGAGAGTACCAAGCCCAGACGTATTAGCAGTTGGTGGCAAAGATGTCAAGGCGGGAGGTCCTCGCACAAAGTAGATGGATTGATTATATGGAAATTCTAAAGAGCTGTTCTTCTCTGTTACAGTTGGGTAGAATCAGGAGGATAGATAAGCCAGATGTACAGTTCACTCAGTCTCCCTCCCCTCCTGCACACTCACCTGTACTATGCCAGTGCCTGTGTTAGTCCATCTCTGGGGTCCCAAGATCTCAGTCATGGGGATGGGGTGCCATGTAGACAGGTAAAGTTCTACACAATAAGGGGAGTGCAATAAGAAACACCTGTACAAAAAGTTACAAAGTTATCATCATAATTGTCCTTGAAATGTGCCTCTTTTATATGGTTTCTTAATACATACTCAAGTTTTAAATCATCAAAGAATGATAAATAAAATAAGTAAATAAAAATATAAGCTTTTCTCATGCCAGTCTTCTCTCCTTCACTTTTTTAGGTGTTTTAATAGCCTGTTACTTAGTTTTTGCAACAAGAATGACTGCAGACCAAGCAATTATATTTGTGCGGGCAAAGCGACCCAATTCCATACAAACCAGAGGACAGCTACTCTGTGTAAGGGAATTTACTCAGTTTCTGACTCCTCTCCGCAACATATTCTCTTGTTGTGATCCCAAAGCACATGCTGTCACCTTAGCTCAATATCTAATTCGCCAGCGTCATCTCCTTCATGGTCATGAGGCACGACTTCTGAAACATGTGCCAAAAATTATCCACCTTGTTTGCAAATTGCTGCTGGACTTAGCTGAAAACAGACCAATGGTGATAAAGGATGTGTTTGAAGAACCTGGTCTTTCTGCTGAAATCGAAAAGACTGTGTCTGAGATGGTCACAATGCAGCTGGACAAAGAGTTACTGAGGCATGACAGTGATGCATCTGACCCGTTTAACCCCACTGCAGTCGTGGCAGATTTTGAGAATCAGGATGTGATTCTTTCCAGTGAGCAAGAGTTTGACCCCCTTTGGAAGAGGCGGAATGTTGAGTGCCTTCAACCCCTGACTCATCTGAAAAGGTGCCTCAGCTACAGTGACTCAGATTTAAAGAGGGCTGAGTCCCTCCTGGAACAAGGGGAGACTCCAGGGACGGTGCCTGCCCAGGTCTTGCTTTGCCACAACCCCAGGCAGCAGAAGCCTATTAGCCACTGCTATGTCCCACAGTCTCTAGGACTAGATTTACACAAGGAAGCATTGGTTCGCAGCACATTTTCTCTGTGGAATCAGTCTAAGTTTGGAGGCTTAGAAGGACTCAAAGATAATGGGTCGTCACTTTTCCACATGAGTAACATTCCAAAGGAAGCACAGCAGAGTAGAGCTTTCTCTGAAGGTGTTTCAGGCTCACACAGCCCTGTGGAACCAGTTTCACCCAACTTTCCAAATGCCCATAAGGATCTAAACCCTTCTCACCAGCAAGTAGCACACTGTCGGTGTGAAACTCATGGTGATTGGGGTCCTGGCTCTGTCAAGGAGGACAGCAGGACTCACCGAAGCCCTCTGGACTGTGGCTCCAGTCCCAAAGCACAGTTCTCAGCTGGACATGAAACCCAGGACGACAAAGATCTTTCCGAAGCAATTCCACACTCTGCTTTGCTGTCTGGATTGAGTGTGGAAGCAAGAAGAATACTGGCAGCCAAAGCCCTGGCAAATTTAAATGAGTTTGCAGAAAAGGAGGAAGTGAAAAGGAAGGTAGAAATGTGGCAGGTACTCATATTTCATTTATGTCAAAGCAAAAGTATAATGCATTTTCCCAGATGTATTTTCTACAGAAATATGAAGATATGTTGCATGACACTTAATTTTTGAGCTTCAAGACTCAGCTCTCATGTGAGCCTGATGTTATAGACCTAAGGGGATGTTTGTGTGGTTTCGTTTAAATCTCCATGTACAAGAAAGCACTTAGCATGATGCTTGACCTGTACAAGGCATTGGCATTGGTAGCTTCCTTCTTTCTTGCTGGGTTTGTGGGGGCAGCCTGCCCACAGCAGATAGCGTTAGAAATCTGACCTGTCTCTAACCCGAGGCCTGGCATGGGGGCCACACGTTGAGAACTACTGACAGAGACATAAATAAAGTTATTTTCTAAAGCTTACCAGCGTCAGTGTTGAGATAAGAAGAGTGATGCTGTCTCCTCTGCATCTCTCCTTCAGACTTGCTGACCCTGCTCCAGTAGGGACACTGTGGGAATCAGGAGAGCAAGTGGGAGGAAGCACAGACTGCCATTGTGCCATTAGTTTTAACTGAGATGAGGTCTTTTGGGTATATTTCTTGGATTTTACTTAAATTAGAATGTGAAGTTATAAATTTTAAGTCCTTCTTGTGTTGTGCTTTTACTAGGAAGACAGTCTTAAGTCAGCTGCACTCTCTTTGCCCCAGATGAGCACCTGGTTTAGAGAAAAGACAGGCCTGTAAACCTAGTTACCAGAAACAGGCAAACAGCCCCCAAGGGGCTGACTCAGTGAGCCCTGACTCAGTGAAATATTGACTTTTCAGCCCATTTTCTATTATGAATTAGTTTCATAGCTCTTTTCCACAGTGTACTGTTAAGGCATATAAAATTTCTAAGAGTGCCAGTGTCTCTTCAGACGCCAAAGCATGAAAATTAAGTTTTGAGTTTTACACTGACTTCCAACTGCTCGATGGGAGGAGAGAACTTTTGATGAAAGCTTTGTTCATCAGAATTGTAGTGTTTTGCCTAATTAGTAGTTAAGTGTATTGCATTCTTCCAAGATGAGTTGCTTATTTACTACTCCAAACTGGAAAAGTCTTCCATCAGTCAGCAAATATTTCCTGTGCATTACTGTGTGTCAAGAGTTAGCAAGCAAGAGGGTCTTCCATTTCTGATGGAACATCTGTGCCTTCACTCCTGGGTCAGCCCTGAGTGCTCGCAGCTGAGTGACCACGTGAGCTCTGCTTGTGCTGATGATGAGGTCAGGACTTGGTGTGGGACAGACTGTTTCAACATGTAGCATATATGAAAGCATTTTTGGAGGTGAACCTTTTATGGGGATATTTTTGCCTTTTTTTTCCTTTCTAGATTTTATTTTAGGCCTTGTAGTAATAATAATAATTTAAAAAACCCAATGAATTCCAGAAGAGAGTAAACATTACTTGAGCAGTATAATGCTGCCTGTGCCTCTACTATACCCTTTCACATATATTACTTCTTGTGATTTTCATAATAGTCCTGGGAGGCAGATGATACTATTTATGTATTCTTTGTTAATCTTATGAATTCAGTATCACAGATGAGGAAACTAAGGGTGACAGAGGTTAAGTGACTTGCTCAATGTCACATGTATGTGACAGAGCAAGGGTATAGCTCATGGGTTTAACACTTTCTATGATCCCCGGATGTCTTGCCTAACATCACTGGAAAGCCTCAGGGAACATCATGATAGTCCTTTGGGGAAAAAAGTTGTTGAGTAATATCAGTTCTGCCCAGCTTGTCTCCTTATTAGCTGACAAAATTGAATAAAAAGGTACTCTGTTGTGTACATGATCTATGGGATGGGAAGGAGTATGAACAAGTAAAAGCATTGGCTTAATTTATAAGATAATAAAGAGAAACCCAATACCAGAGGGTCCTTGTGGTATGACAGAGACAGAACAGACCCTGGAGTAAGGCAGAACTGGGTGCAAAGACCTCCTTCGCTGTTTTCTAGCTTTGGGCTCTCAGGTAAGTAATTTCATCTTTCTTGAGCCCCAATACATTTATTTGTGAGGGGCCTCCCTGCTGGGTGCTATGACATTCAGAGATCAATCGTGTGTAATAGTTTCTGCCCCCCTGTATGCATGCTATAAATATTGGATGGGTGAATGAATAAATGGTAGCAATTATTACACTTATTACTATTGCAAAAATATATTTGATTCACTAAAGCATAAATCTGAACCCTGTCAAAAATTAATTAAAATTCACTTTTCCCTTCTGTCTGTGAGGTGAAGTTTTAAAATCTCATGCTTAAATTGTCTCCAGGAATTTGGAGTATTTAGCAAAACCTTTTAGTTATTTTCACCCTATCAAATTTCAGGATGCAGAGCTTGTTATCTGTTAAGTTCTACAGAGGATTCTAAAGAGGCATTTGAAAGAAATACACATACTCCATTTACCAACTTTCAACTTTACTGACTTTGCATATGTCGAAGTTTCAGTCACAAGCTTTTCCTCAAATCCTAGGTTGATTTACAGATGTTTCCTTATTTATGCTTCTCCTATACCATTCTACTTTGCAGTAAATATTTGTTTTGTTTGCTAGAAGCCTGAAGAGGAAGACTCACTCTTCCTGAACTGTCTCTGTGGTTTCTGAATGAAGGAGAGAAGGTGGATTAACTCAGCCCCTTCTCTGTGCTTTAACGATCTTATCTCAGCCAATTAGCCCAGTGTGAGGCAGGGCATAAGCTTCATAGAGGGAACTAAATCTTAAAGAAGTTCAGTGTCTTAGGCCAGTGTCCACTGGGAGGAGTCCCAGATCCATACCCTATAGCTTGAGCTTTCACGCTCGCAGGTAGCCTAAGGATCGCCCGTGTCAGTGGGCGTCTCCCTCTCTTCTGCATGTCTCTGTCTCTCTCCCTTTCTCTTCCTTTTTAGAAAGAACTAAATTCCCGAGATGGAGCTTGGGAAAGAATATGTGGCGAGAGGGACCCTTTTATCCTGTGCAGTTTGATGTGGTCTTGGGTGGAGCAACTGAAGGAACCTGTAATCACCAAAGAAGATGTGGACATGTTGGTTGACAGACAGGCAGATGCCGCGGAAGCGCTGTTTTTCTTAGAGAAGGTAGAGCTGCTGCTGGACTAGTTAATGACTTTAAGGCCCTCAGTATAAATTTCACACACTAAAAAAAAGAAATCCATGATAGAAAAAAAAAAAGGGACTGCATACTAAATCCCATATCTAGGTCTAATTTAATAGTTTTTTCAAGATAAGAATAGAAATTAATACCCACTAGAAACATCTAGAAAATATAAAATAAAACAGGAAAATATCAATAATCTTGGGAGAGCCACTATAAACATTTTCAATTTTTCTTTTAATCTTATCAGCACAAATATTAAATTAGTAAAAATTATTTTAACATACAACTTTACATTTCATTTTTGCTTAAAGTTTTAACATAGGTATTTTCCCATGAATAGTGTAAGCTATTGACTGGAATGGGCATGCGATGCTCTGATGTGAGCCTATGCCATAGTTAACCACTTCAGCACTGTTGGGTATTTGTTTCCACTAAGTATTTGTTGTTACTAAGAGATAATGGATGTAGGAAGGGGGGCTAGAAATTGTATGAATCCTTTTATATAGTTTAGTATTTTTAACCACATAAAGGTGCTAAATTTTCTTATAAAAATAGGCTTGTTCTTGTTTTAGGAAACAATGCTATATAATAATCAGCCTTGAGTTACCTACTGTGCTATAATATAAGCATCTCCTCTTTGTTTCCAAATCTTCATTAAAAAATTTGTATAATTGCTGTACACACATACACACCAGACACACACACACACATGCTCACAAACATGTACATACAGAAATACAGCCTCACACACAGACATGTGCACACACATAAACACACACCACAGTTGTGCAATGCACATCTTTTTTAAGAAAAGATTTTTCCCGTATCTGGAGTCCTTTTCTTAGAATATTTTCTCAGAAATTAAATCGCAGAGCTAAAACAGGAGAGGATGAAAAGGGAGAAGATTAACCTTTGTCAGGTGGCTGTGGACCAACCCTTGGAGGCTGGGGCTGTCACTTTCTTCATCTAACCCCCTCCCTCCATAGCATCTGCAGTGGGCTAGGTACACAGGTACTGACCGCTCAGTGCCTGACTGGTTAGTCCACATATCACCATGACATGTCAGCGTTTACTAGCTGAACCAAAATGATTATATCCAGAAATAACAAGAATAGAAAAATCAATCCTGTTCACTGCAAGAGAAACATCTGGTTTAAAATTGTACTGATCTTCAGATTCAGTCGTATATTGTACACTAACTAACCAGCTTTGGTATTATCTCCTGAAAGCTTTTCAGATTTGTTAACACATAACAATAAACATTTGGTAGAGCTCTTGGTAGATATTTTAGCATTTGAGATTATGAATAAATACCTGGTCACAAACTAATTCTCAACTCTACGATTGTTCTGAATAGATTTCTTGAGGCATTTTTCAAACAACTGTTTTAATTCTGATTTCTGCAAAAAACAGGGACAACACCAGACTATTCTCTGTGTGTTACATTGCATCGTGAGCCTGCAGACGGTTCCCGTGGACGTGGAGGAAGCCTTCCTTGTTCATGCCATTAAAGCTTTCACTAAGGTGGGTCACATTCTTTTTCTCCTTCCGTGCCACAGATCAGCAACATCTTTGTAAGTCAGAATCCAGAGGTCACCATCCTCTAAAACAAAACTTTTAGCTGTATTTCCCCTTTATGGAAATATCTTTGACATTTCTTGAAGTTGTTGCAGAATTCCACCCTCAAAAAAAAAAATCATTTTCCAAACAGTGATAGTAGGAAGAGCTGAACTGAGGGATTTTTAAAGGAAAACATTGAAACAAAGAGCTTTTATAATGGAGAAGAGAAACAATTGGGTGTTGAGTACATAATTTTAAATCATGTGCCTTGTAGGAGTCAGGGAATCTTTGCTTGTTGAGCCAGTTCTACCTTGGATTTAAACAAAAAGCCATCTATTGAGAATTAAACATCAAACATTGCCAATTTGGTATGGTGTCATGGTTGACATATCCTAAGGAAAGAGTAAAAAACTGTTTCCTTTCTAAAAGCACATCCTATTGGCTCATAGCTGTTTTTCCTACCTGAAATAAAAAGCCAGGTTCATGCCAAGAGCAAAGGTTCCCCTCACCCTCACCCCTTCAACTAATTTATTTGGTATCTCTCGTATACAATATGAAAATGCCATTAAACAAAGAACCCAGATTTTGAATGACAGTATCTGGTAACATTAATGATAGCAGTTATCATTTGTACTCATTCCTAAGTTGTGAAGATTCTTTCTTTTTAACATTTGTCCAAACTCCTTCTCCTCCACTCTTTCCAAAGTGATGTTCTTCCTGCAGTCTTCCTTGTTCCTTGTCTGGATATTATGGTATTATCCACCTGACATCTTTTCAGTCTGTTCTTCACAGTGTCCAGAGTCAATGGTCCCAAATCCAGGTCATGTGATCGTTTACATCTATATTTACGTTTTCATAGACTGAGAAGCTATCTACCACTCGAGAGAGGTTGTGGTTTGATGTTTAAGAAAGTAAACAATTCAAACCATTATTAATATTAATAAGGAGTTTTTGTAAATAGATAGACAATGTAGTGGTCAAGATAAAATTAAATCTCTGAGTTTGAACAAAAAAATCCTTAATATTGGTGTATCTGAAAGTGATAGGATTTTTTACAACTATTGTTAGCCTTTTAAGGGGATACTAATGAAGAGTTAGATAAGCAGTTGTTTAAAATCTGTCTATAAAAATGTTAGAAGGCAGTTCTCCTTGGGTCTCTCATATCGCTGCACAGTCTGAGGAGCAGGTATACTGACAGCTTTCTTTGGGGACCAGCTCTTCATGGAAGTCTGTCTAGCTCTGCCTGTAGGGCAGAAGGCGCGTGGTTCTGCCTTCCCAGGATATTGTGATACTTCCCTTCAGAGCAAAAGTTGGCAGGTTTGCTTGCAGTCCCCTTATTAAACATGGGGATTTCTTAAGCTTAGGGCTCCTCAGCTATGAAGCAAACCCCCTGCTTGTGTAGCCTCCAGCTGGGCCTCTGCATTGCCCCCACAGGACGTGGGAGGCAGGAGGAACCCACGTGAGTATGAAGCACATGCAGCCATGAGGAATAAAGCTGTTTGTCTTTGACCCAGCAGCCTTGTATCTTGTACCAGTGTGATACCATCAAGCTAAGTAGGGTAAAATCTCAGATCTTTTATAGTTATTGACAAAGGAACAACCTTCCCTTTGTCAGAATTTATCAGAGAGGGAGAAATTCCAGAAGAGGAGAGGCGGTGATTGTGTGACCCTGATTCTTTCTTAGTGAGTCACACATTCTGGGGATGGGGTGGGGTGGGGGACTGGAGTATTTACTCTGGTTCTCTATCTACCCTCACTCCTAACCCTGAGTATGGTAAACTGGGACAAAGAATCCAAACATGTGTGCATAGTACCTTCCCATCAAGGGGAAAGAAACTAACATTTATTGAGGATTTTTACATGCCAAACTTATGTTAGACTCTCATGGATACAAAATCCTAAGGAAAAGGATATTGTGGTCCCTGTTTTACAGAAGATACACTTGAGGCCTAGAGTGGCTGGGTGTGAGATGAGGACACACAGCTGGCAGGTAGAGAGCCAGGCTTTCTGTTCAGGTTGCTCTGACTCTGCCCCACAGTGGCCACAGGGCCTCTTAGCAGGACACTTACAGCTGATGTGCTGTGTTCTAACAAGGAATACTTTCCCTTATACCATTAATGATTAGCCTCTGAATTAAAACCTTACTTCACACTCACTATTGACTTGCTTCATGACTAGGTATATGTGATTATACTAAATATCCAGGCACTAGATTTGATTTTGAGTTTTTATTCATAAGTTTGGTATTGGCATGGTTGGCAGTTCTAATATGGTCTTTCAATTGAAATGTGCAAAATGTATTATGTATTTTTAAAATTATATATATTTATGTTTATAAGACTTTTTTCGCTACCTCCCTCTTTTTTCCCCAAATAGAGACTGGTTAAAATTCTTGTTATACTGTCCTGAATATAAATTTCTTTGTGACCAGGTTAATTTTGATTCTGAAAATGGACCAGTAGTTTACAGCACCCTGAAGAAAATATTTAAGCACATTCTGGAAGAAAAAAGAAAAATGACAAAAGACAGCCCTAAGCCTGGTCTCTAGTGAAGCTGACTTTCCTCATGATGAATACTTCCGACCTAAATATCCAGTTCATATGAGAATAAGTTGAAGTTTGTGGAGCTACTTTTTCCCATAGCACTTTACTTTGAATGCTTGTCATTTGTGCTGACAACGATCATTCCTAGTTGGAGCAATTATTTATTTTAAAGTATCCTTGAGCTACATTTTTGTTTTGGAAAATTGCCATAAAGTTGGTGCCACTTTCTTTTATTTATTTGACTGAATTTATGTTGTTGTATTAACATTTTAAATGTGTGGTGTTTACATTCTTATTCTTTTTGACGTTTTGGAGAAAGTTGTAACTTGTCTTTCCAAAACAACCATTTTCTTGACAGAACTCTTCCTGGAGTTTTTACCAAATAGATAATTTCAGTAGTCAAACCTCACTGTGTATCCGTCCCCCTGACATATGACCTAAGAAAGTCACCAAGTGTCTTAAACTGTTTTATATTTGTTACTAAGAAGGCTATTGATACAATATTTTTAAAGGATTTTTTTAAAACTTTCTTTGAAATTATTTGTTTTTCCTTTTCATCTTACAAATGTGACCAAGGGTTTCAAAGTGTGTTATTTTTCAGAGTGATTTAGCTTTACTTTAATGGAGTGACTGTGAAGTGGTTGGGATTTTTACTTGTAGTAAGTAGACTTGCTCTTTGTCAGGCTTCCAGACAACTTTGCCAGCCTCAGCTGTCACAAGGAGGCAGAAGCAGTTCTCAACACACCAAGCCTTATTCCCACTCCTTTGGGTTGCTGCTGAGCTAAACAGCATCTTTACAAAGGCAGTGGATCAGAGGCGGGCAGTGTGGGAAGTTGCTAAGAAGCAGGACTTGCCTCTGTTTTCCCAGGGATTCCACAGGGACAGTCTTGTGGGGCCAGGGCTCTATGCCAGCCCTGCTTTATCAGGGTGCTGTGGCCACTCTGCAGAGGCAACTCTTGGAGCTGGAAGAAGTCAGGGCTGGGCCACTGCTCATGCTGATGGTATAATTAGCATGAGCAGCCTGGCCCTGGCCCTACACTCCCAAATCTGCCACTCTAAAGACCCATTTGCCTCAGGGCTCTACCTTTTGCTGCTTTTTTACCATGAGAATTAAAATTTTTAAATTGAATTTGACCCTATGCAGGTTACTTGCACCCTAACTGACATCAGATAAGAAAAGATGTCTACCTAAGCTAGTTCATTATAGACCAAACTGTCTATCAGCAATTGAAGCCATGACTTTTGTTTAAATTAATATGTAGTGATACAAGAGGCCATGCCATGGACAGGATAGTAGTTTTTCCCCATAAAGATGATACTAATCAGACCAATTTCATACTGAAGAAGCTACTATTAACACTTAATCTTAAAAATGGAATTTCAGGGGAAACAAGACTAATTTAGAACAAATAAAATTTCTCCAACTCCTACATTTCTGAATTAAGATCTAGCACATCAAAAATATTTTAGTCATTATCAGTCTAACTAACTCTAATGGCAAAATGCTAAATGCAGCATTCTTCCACACTGTATTTTCTTGGGAAATCAAATCCAAGTTAATGAACTGGGTTGCCCACTCCTGAAATGTCTTATTCTCAAGTGCCTGGCCTGGGAAAGACAGAAGGAAACAGTTGCATTTCATCCAAGGTTATATTATAAAAATAGGGTTTTTACCCCCCAAAATAGTTTGTTCTCAGTCAGCTACACATAGGCAAGTGACATGACAGCTCTTTTGACAAGCCAGATGTTCGTTTGCCTATGCATCTGAAACACTTGTTTCAAATTAGGGAGCAATCATGATGTGACCACAGCACTGCATGTCTAAAAGTCTAAGCACACGAACCTGGAAAGTCTGAAAAAGAGATATGATGGGGGAAATTAATCAGGCTACAATACAAGTATTGTATTTATTGGAATAAAAGTGAAAAAAAATCCTAGTCTTGTACTTCTTTACTTTGATACTCTTGGGCATCGTGCTTACCCTGATGATAAAGACAAGGTGTTGCTCTTTGATTGTCCTGGTGGGCAGATTGAAGGCTGAGCACTGAGCCAGCCAAACTCTAGTTAGTGTCAGCAACCTCTGTTGGTTCAGAATGGCCAAAGATGGAGGGGACCAGGATGGACCAGTTCTAACAGGAATGATTGAAGAAAATCTTTAGGCTGACAAGATTCTTGCTGTCCTGTGTTTGAGTAGATGAGGAGTTTTTATACCCCAGAGGACAAAAATCTCATGTATTAAGAGACATTACAAGTTGCAAAATTAAGCTCAGCAGAAATGGAAATGTCAAGAGCACACACATACTAAGAACTTACGTGGGCCAACCATATCTGTTACCTCACTGAATTCTCAACAGACTGAGACAGACATCTTAATCATACCTATGTGACAAAGGATGCCAAGTCTGATGGACTCCACTCTGTGCCCTCCTCCCTGCTCATGCTGCCTGCCTATGGGACTCTTATCCAGGCGAAGCTGCCCAGTGCACAGCACCGTCAGGGACCTTGAGGCCCTTTTAGCACAAGATTTCATGACAGTGTTAGAGAACACCATATTGTCCATAACGTCAGTGAAACCATCACACATCTTCTGTCCTCTGCAAAAGACTGATCTTGCTCTGTTACTATCATGTGATGATCTCTAGCATATCACACTTAGAGGAAGTGCATATTTTCTTCCTACTTCAGAGAGCTGGCTAATGCCTGCTGACAGGTGTTGCTGCTGCTGGTGTTGAGCTTGTGTCATTCATTTGCACACCTCAGACATTCTATGCTGATTTACTTAGTCATCTCTTTAACCAGCTTCCCAGTTTTACCTGAGAAAGAGTATTTGCTTTGTCCCTCTAGATTCTGTGAAAATGACCATATATCATAATTCAAGAGATAGATAAAAGTGTCTTTTTTCTCTGAAATGGAGAATACTTGCTGATATGCTCAGGTACTGTTTCAGACTGTTCTCAAGATGCCTGAAGAAAGTATTCAGGGACAGTGCCTTGTAGCAGAGTGCATGCCCCAAGTTTTTTACTTTGACAGCCTTCAAATATTTATTTTGAGGGTTGATGAAAAGTGATAACTTCCTCATGGGATCTTTATTTTTGTTCCAAATTAACAAGGATTAATATATTTTCAGTGCAGGTAAATCAAGAATGACATTTCCTTTGGTACTTTTTATTTTTATAAATGTAGCCCCAAGAATAGCATGTTACCTAAGGGAGCCCTTCTCAACACTAGATGGTTAAAAATTGTCTACAGATAAAGTGGCAGAAGAAAAATTCAACAAAATCCTGCTCCTTAGTGGTGCATTATTTTTTTAGTTATGCTTTCAGGCATGAACTGATCTCTGATTAGCCGAACACTGACAATAAAACTGATTTATGAGTAATCACAAAGGAGCCATTCAGTAGTGGCGCTTGACAAGCTTTTGTTCTCAGCCATTCAGTCATTAAAAGTAATGTCCCAATAAGACTTTAATGTCATGAAACCCTTGCAGTGAAAATAAAATTTCATACACCCACTATAATTTATATAGTGAGAGAAAGCTGCCAAGCCCTTGCCTCCGGCTTTCTTGATTAAAATGGAAAAATATTTTACTCATAAGATTGCCTGTTTGGGGGAGAAGTTTAATTTTGGGGATGGGTTCCTACCTATACCTGACCATTAGGTTGTAGTCTGTGCCAATACCCTCTGGTTTTGATTTAGTGGATTGCTTTATCATTTTTTTCCTTTTCTTAAAAACACACCACTCAGGTTTTGATTTAGTTTCAACCATATGTAGTGGCTATTTTTAGGTAAAAAGTTACCAAGTATTGGCCATTTCATATGGTTCAATCTAATACTAAACTTAACATTCCTGGGCCTGGTGGGTGCCATTTCCTGAACTAATTTTTTGTAAGATCTATATTAGATCATTGTTTTTTAAGACTATCCTGCATGCTCACAGTGGAGCTCCAACACAAGAGACCAATGTGAAATTAATTCTCTCAGCAACAGATTTGTGCCTCTTCTGCTTAGCTCCCTCCCGAATCTGGGGACACACAGGAATCATTTATTCAGTCATTCATCCTTCCATTTAGGAGATAAGTTGCTATGATCTGACTGTGTCCCCCAAAATTCATGTGATGGAAAATTCCCAGTGCAATGATGTAGGGAGCTGCAGCCTTTTGGGAGGTGTTCAGGTCATAAGAGGGCCTGATGTAGGAAGTCTAGTCCTTATTTGCCTTCCATCTTCTGCCACGTGAGGACACAGGGTTCCTCTGCTCCAGAGGACACCGCACTCAAGGCACCATCCTGGACGCAGAGAGCAGCCCTCACCAGATGGCGCTACCTTGATCTTGGCCTTCCCAGCCCTCCAGGTCTGTAAGAAGTAAATGTCTGTTGTTCATAAGCTACCAAGTCTAACGTATTCTGTTACAGTGGTACAAAATGGACCAAGGCATAAATTGGTACCAGAGGAGTCAGGTGTTGCCATAACAAATACCAAAAAATGTGGGAGTGGCTTTGGAACTGGGTAATGGGCAGACACCGGAACAGTTTTGAAGTGAATGCTGGAAAAAGCTTACATTACCATGAGTAGAGCATTAAGGGTGATTCTGGTGAGGGCCCAGAAGAAGAAGAAAGCTGTAGAGAAAATTTCATTCTTAGAAATTATTAGTAATTATTAATATATAAGTGGTTGTGAACAGAAAGTTGGTAAAAACATGGATAGTAAAGGCTGTTCTGATTAGGTCATAGACAGAAACGAGGAATATTTTATTGGAAATTGGGGGAAAGGCCACCCTTATTAAAAAGTGACAAAGAGCTTGGCTGAATTATGCCTGTTTTGTAGGACTTTTAAGAGGCAGAGCTTGTAAGCAATGGACTAGGATATTTGACAGAAAACATTTCTAGGCAGCAAAGTGTTCAGCATGCTAATTAAGTGGCTTCTCTTAACTGCTTATAATATAATGAGAGAAGAGAAATAATTTTAAAACAGAATTTATGATTAAAAGGGAAGCAGAACATAAAGATTTGGAAAATTCTCAGCCCAGCCATGTACAGAATTAAAAATGTGTTTGGGAGAGAACACCAAGGAAGTGGCCAAGCTACCATTTGATAAGATCAGTGTGGATAGAAGCAAGCCAGGTACTATTCATCAAGACTTTGGGAGAATGACCCCAAAGGCATTTCAGAGATTGGGGGGAGGCGGTAGCCACACCCATTAAAGGCCCAGAGTGCTGGGGACTTAGGGGCAGAACAATTTTGAGGAGGGGCCCAGGGTGCCCATGGACCTGAGCACTCACTGCTGAGGGCTGCCTAGGGTCTCTGCTCCCTGCATTCTGAAACAGTGCTACTTGACCACACCAGCACTGACTCAAGCAGGCCTGGATGTGGCTCAGGCCACGACTCTGGCGGGCACAAGAAGTGAGCCTTGGCAGTGTCCACATGGTGCTAATTCTTCAGGTATGCAGAGTGCAAGGGCAGTGGAGGCATGGCTTCCTTCACCTAGATTTCAAAGGGTGCCTCACAGAACTTCAGTGCCCAGGCAGATCTGCTAGAGAAGTAGAGCCACTGCAGAAAGTCCCACTAGGGCAGTGCCTAGTGGAGCCACGGGAGCAGAGCTGCCCCGGAGACTCCAGAGCCGCCAGCCTGCAGTGCCAGCCTGGGGAAGCTGCAGGCTGTGATTTCAATGTGTGAGAGCAGAAGCATGGGCTATGCCCCAGCAAAGCGTTGGGGTGGGCCTGCCTGGGGCTGCGGGGACCTAACCTCCCCTCCAGTGTGTCAGGAAGGTAGGACATGGCATCAAGATTTAATGTTTGTCCTGCTGGGTTTGGGACTTAGTTGGGACCTATTACTCCTTAATTCTTTCCTGTTGCTCCTTTTTGGAATGGGAATGTTTATCCAATACCTGCCCCACTACTGTATTTTGGAATTATATGACTTGTTTGATTTCACAGGCTCACAGGTGGAGAGAAGTTTGCCTCAGGATGAATCATACTTTGAGTCTCACTCATAACTGATTTAGATGAGACTTTTGAGTTGGTGCTAGAACAAGTTAAGACTTTGGGGGCTACTGGGATGGAATGAATGTATTTTGCATATGAGAAATGTCAATAGAAAAAACCCAAACTCTGTAAAATAATTTAAAGAGGTTTATTCTGAACTGACCATGGCTTGAAGAGCCATGTCCAAGAAGCCTTGAGCAAGTGGTCATGCTGTGGTTGGGTTACAGTTTGGTTTTATACATTTAGGAATACAGGAATTACACATAAAATCATAAATCAATACATGGAAGGCGTACATTGGTTTGGCTCAGCAGGTATCTTGAAGCAGAGGGCTTACAAGTTATAGGTGGGTTTAAGATTCTTGTATTTGTAATTGGTTAAAGAAATGAAGCTTTGTCTAAAAGCTTGGAATGTTTTAAGTTAAGATGAGGAAGTCTGTTAATCAGAGACTCATGAGATCTGTTAAGTGAATTGATGATCTGCAGTTGTGGTATAACCTTTGTCTTACATGACCTTACTATCTTACTGTTACAAAGAGTAACTCCGGAAGGGAGGGGGTGTAACTTGGCATCTCTGACCTCCCTTCTCCTCATGACTGACTGACAACTCAGCTTTAAGGTTTTTCTGGGGTCTCCTTGGCCAAACGGGAGACCATTCAGTCAGCTAGAGAGTGGGGCTTAAAATTTTATTTTAGTTCACATAAGGACATAATTTGGGGAGTCAGGAGTAGAATGTTATGGTCTGAATGTGTTCCCCAAAATTCATGTGTTAGAAACTTAATCTCCAATGCAACAGCATAGGAAGGTGTACAGTCTTTTAGGAGGTGTTTAGGTCATGAAGGCTCTGCCCTCATGAATGGATTAGTGCCATTATAAAAGGGCTTGACAGAGTTTGGTCTTTTTTTGTCCTTCCACCTTCTGCCATGTAAAGCCACAGGATTCCTCCTCTCCGGAGGA